AGATCATGGGGAATCTTTTGGCAGAGTGATTGTGGTTTGAAATTTTTCCCATTGCCCCCGGATGATGGCGTTTTCGATCTTGCTGGAAGCGAGTTATTTGAAGCAAGAGGACCGTTACGAAGACTTAACGTCGTTCCGGGTAGCCCAGGGAGAGCAGGAAGATTGAAGTAATTGGATACTCCTGTATCATCTGAATCGTAGTCGTCATCTTCTTCCTCCTCCTCCTGGACGACCTCACGCCTACCTCCAAGCAGAATTACGCCATCTACCTTCTTTTGTAGCCTTTTCTGAGGAACCGAGTTGTCCTTGACAACGACGATTTTGGTCTTTGGCAGTATAACTCCTTGGTCTACGGGTTCGGATAATTCTATCCTGGCCTCTCTGCCGCGCATCCGACCCCCTAAACGGAGTATGTCGTCTCGGTGAAGTACCTTTACGCCCTTGACGGCGTATCTGACCATCTCCTCGACTTCCTCATCTCCAACCACCCCCTCTTCATACGTGGCAGGAGGGGTGACGGAAATGATGATGGTCTCTAGCCCAACAAGGTCAACATTCGTGGCAAGTACCGAGACTGTCCGTTTCTTGTTGACTTTTGACGATTCCCTAGGAGGGGGCAGGGATGCCTTGAATGCAGACAGGCAGGTGAAAGACTGAGCATTGTCTGGGAATAGGATGGTGGACGGAGGTAGCGATGGGAACTGGGACGTTGCCGGAGGCGCAAGTGTGACTGGCAACGTGGTCCACCTCCCTTGCTTGACGGTGAGTTCTGGCGTAAGGGATGGCACTGGGAGAGCAATTGCAAGGTGATACACCGGAGGATCAGGCGGGGCTGCAGAAGCTGTCAGATCAATTCCATACGGCGCATTTCGTTTGGGCAAATGGTGTCGTCCTCACCTTCCCCCGTATCTCCTTCGCCGCTCGCAGCCCTCGGAAGCGGCCCGAACAGGTCTTTCCAAATGTCCTCCGAGACGAATCCCACGTCTCCTCGCCAGTCGGGCTCCAGAACGATCTTTGCACGGATAGGGGGGCGTGGCTTCCGCTTCTTTCGCGGCGGGAGTGCGCTCGCCATTGCAGCTGGTGGTGGTGGCATCGGTCAATTCGAGGCTGCTGCTGCTGTTCTGTCTGATGAATTAGCACTCGAAGCTCGCGACAGCCGCAGGGCCGGCAACCCACCGTTTGATATTCCTTCTGACTGTCTCTCCTGCCGTGGATTCGGTGTGCTTCGATCGCGGCCAGCTCTTCAGGAGGCTCGGTATTGTTGTGGTGTCTGCCGGCCCAAGCTCCACCTCGGCCAGCTAGCCTCCGCCCCATCCCAGCACATCCCAGCGCGGGCCCGCCCACAGCTCGGGCCCAGCGCAGCTGAACATGCGCCCGCAATTGGGTCCCGAGGTCCACGGCAGCCCGCGTGGGAGCTTGGCGTCACATTCGGCATGACGTCCAGCGATGACGCCGCGCGGGTGCCGCCATGTCGACGTCGGGCAGCATGCAGGGCAGGCCTTGGCCGGGGCCACGGCACGGGAGGGTGCTAACTGGAGATATTCTAGTCCCGGGCCTTGAGCTGACCTTGATTCTCGTGCCTCGTTTCCCGGGATGGCTTGTAGCGGAGATGGTAGCGACTGACGACATGGAGCACAGCATCCCAGCCCCAGAGCATGGCCCTGCCTGCCTGCGTAGAGCCCAGATACCTGGATTCCATGTCCACGAATTCGAAGTCTCCCATCCATTCCGCTTATCGATCCGCCCCTCCTCATTCCCAACTCCACTCCACGCATCTGTCGGCTTCAATGATAATCCTGGAACAAGTGCGGGGCACTAGCTAGTCGCAGCTGGTGCACATATGGCATCAAACTCGAGATCAGGTTCTGGCATGTAAGCTAAAAAAAGATTATGATTTTGACATGACCTGCACACATCTTCAAATCCCACCAGCTATGAAGGAGCTATAAGCTAGCGAAACTTTCTGCACCGTGGTGGGGCATGGTTGGCAGGGGCCATGCTGTGCCCTGCAGGCCTGATGTTGGTGGGGCCGGCTTCCAGGCTCTGGCGAGTTGCTTTGGTAGCGGCGCTGGAATAAATAAACACTTAAGTAACCAGGGAAATTCGTGAACCGCAGGTCTCTGATTCACAATTTAAAGGGAACTGCTGTTGATTAGTTATACCTCACACAAAAACGCTCACTCTCCTGCATCGAGCCCTCAGCACTCGTTTACAACTGCCTAGTCTCTCACTCGATAAATCAGTTGCGCCGGATCCGATTCATGGATTACGAACCGCTCCTTGGGCAAGGGCCCCCAAAGGCATTATCATATGTACAAACAAATGCCGTTCAACCTCTAGCCGAGAAATTGGGATCAATACTGCCAGAGGTCGATCTAAAGCAACCCAGCAAAGTCTTTAATAGCACTGTGAAGGACTTATTAGATGATGGCGCAACTTCAGAGGAGGATGATTCAGTACCCTCGCCAAACGATCTCCCAGTAGCAGCAGACCACCCCCTCTTTCCACCTCTGCCGGAGTATGGCCCTCCGACTCCCATGCGCAAGGCGGAGAACTACGCAATCAGGGCTATATCAGGTTTCCTTTCTGGATTTTTTGTTTTTTATGTCGTTTGCGGGGCAATATCCCGAGATATCCCAATAGCTTGCAAGCGAGTATACAAGAGGCGCTGGCTGGGGGTTGATCCAGACGAAGATAGGCCTTTTTACCACCAGGAAAGAACTCGCGCAGAGCTGCGGAGAAGGGAAAACCAGGAATGGGAGAAACAGGCAGCTCGGGAGCGAGAAGAAGAAGAAAATGCCCTCGAGGGATCGCCTCTACTTCAGCAATATCCAGACGAAAAATATCCTATTGACGATAGCGGCAATATGCTACCTCGGCCTGAAAAGACTAAAAATAAAGAGGGGGGTAAGGAGGTACTGACTTACAGCGTAAGGTACTATGCAAATCGTGTTGGTCTGGAAGTGGACGAGTACAAGGTCGAGACTAGGGATGGCTTCATACTCACCCTCCAGCATGTGTATGATCCGGCAAACAAGTTAGAGAATGGCGCAACTGGCAGTCGGAAATATCCAGTACTTCTCATGCATGGGCTCTTGCAATCCAGTGGAGCATTTTGCGCAAATGATGATGATAGCATGGCATTCTTTCTCTGCAAAAGGTATACTTCTAATATCTCATTTACAACTATATCGTGAAAATATTCCTGACTTTCCATCTCTACAGTGGCTACGATGTCTGGCTCGGAAACAATCGCTGTGGGTCCCACCCCGAACACACGACCTTCACCTCCGACGACCCCCGCATGTGGGCTTGGAACATCCGTCACATGGGCATCTTCGACCTCCCCGCCTTCGTAAACCACATCCTGCACCACACCGGCTTCCCCAAACTCGCCCTCGTGGCGCACTCCCAAGGCGCCGGACAAGCCCTCATCGCCCTCTCCCGCACCCAATGCCCCCAACTCGCCGACAAGATCTCGGTCTTTTGCGCCCTCGCGCCGGCAGTCTACTGCGGGAAAACCCTCCAGGAGGTCTACTTCCGCTTCCTGACATACATCTCCCAGGGAATGTTTCGGTTGATCTTTGGGATCCATGCGTTTATCCCGCTCATGATGTGGTTCCATAAGATCATCCCGGGGAGACTGTATGGTGAATTGGGGTACCGTGTGTTTTCGTTCTTGTTCAAGTGGAGTGATACCCGCTGGGACCGCGGCCTCAGAAACAGATTCTTTATGTTTGAGCCCGTGTATGCCAGCGCAGAGAGCCTCCGATGGTGGCTCGGGAAGGACGGGTTCGCGACCCAGAAGTGTATTCTTGAGGCGCAGACTGTGACGGCTGAGGGTGGTGCGCAAGGACAAGTCCCCGAGACGCAGGAACTCTTATCAGAACAAAAACAACCGCAGCAGAATGATGAAACCGACATTATTGACGACTCTGTGTCTGAAAGAAGCTCAAGTCTCGCCGCAGGCCTCGATAACTCTGCCGACCGCCACAAAGTCGAGGAGGCTGGCCCATGGTTCGCCCCAGGGTTCCCCCCCTTCGCGGTCTGGACTTGCGGCGCGGACGGACTCGTTGATGGGAAGAGGTTCCTCCGGAGACTTGAGAGTGGGCAGGAACCGCATGTCCCGCTCATCCATAATCACCTCATTGATGAGTATGAGCATCTTGATGTTTTGTGGGCGGTGGATAGTATTGAGAGGGTTGGCTGGGAGGTTAGGGATGTGATTTGGAAGGTGGTGAAGGAGGAGATTGAGGAGGCCAAGAGGAAAGAGGAGGAGCAGGAGGTGAGAATGAGGGGTGGTGGTGGCGATGAGGCGGGCTCGGACTCGGGGTATGGAGAGTGTCAGGGTGTTACTCCTCGGCTTGGTCTTGGGAGGAAGAAGGCGAGCCATTGTCGGAGGGGGAGGTGGTGGGAGAATGTTCTTGTGCCGATAGGTGTCAAGGTTTTGAGTTCTCAAAGCGAGGAAGAAGATGCATTACCACCACAAGTCGTTGTGGAGAAGCGTGAGGAGGTGTTTTTGGGAACAAGAGAGCTTTGCTAGATTTTTGGGTTTAGTTGATTACCTATTTATACATGATTTGTTTATTTGCAGTTTCCATTTGGTTTGCTTTAGATGTTTTTGCTGCATCTCAATCCTTTCTTTGTAAAAAGACCTACATCATGTACTTTCTTCCTTCTCTTTGCGTCTGTTTGCTATCTCCTTCTCCTCTTCTCCTCTACAGCTTGAAATTTTATGATTAATGATACCATGTAGATACACATACATACATACATATACCTCAGTATATAACTGAGAAGTACCAGGCCGTTGTTTGTAACTTATAGATCTATCTATCTATATCCTCTTCACCATATCCTTGTGTATTCGGACTTGTACCTCTTTCTTGAAACTTATTTACTGATTCGTATATCATAACTGCAACGAGAATACCGTGGCCATTCATTGTTATTCCATCCAACATAGGCAGGGCAAAAACAAAAAAAAAGTGCAAAAAGTATGGTCACGGTGAGACTCGAACTCACAACCCTCGCGTTACTTGATCTTTGGTTAAGATCGGACTAATATATGTATTAGCACGATGCTCTGCCGATTGAGCCACGCGACCCATTGGATGATGTAGGTTTGTTTTGTTTTGCTATAGCCCTATTTTGCCCACTTTATATCCTCTTCTTGAGCAGGGTTGAAACATAAGGGACCTACCTAAAGTAGACATCTCTTGGGGGCTACTAATTAGCTCGGGGTACGGGACTACTTAGCTTGCAAAACTCGGAGTTTATCGACCTGGCAGGTACTTACTTACTTACCTAACCTATACCCGCTGCTCCAGCTCCATCCCGCCTCCAAACGTAGCCCCGCCCTGTTCTCTAAACGGATACGGAGGATTAATCTTGCCGGGTGTGTGTGTGTGCCTACCTACTTACGGTGTATATATCACCGATCGATGTGGAGAAAGCCGTTGCAGTTATCAGCTACGAGTAGATTGAGTGAGTCATTCCTACTTCGTGCCTACATCCTACTTAGCTTAGGTAGACATATAAGATATTTTGGGGATTATGTATGTATGGATTCGAATTCTTAGCTAAGCTAACTTTTTTTTTTTTTTTTGCTTTCGAATTCTACAAGGTCACGGATTACTATTGAATCGATTTCTTGGAGGTGGTACAATTGTAGGAAGATTGGTTTCGGGTTCTACTACTTCTTTTAAAGCTGTTTTTGTTCCATTGGGGGGATCCTATAGACGCAGAGAGATACCAGGAATTCGGTGTTTTTATTCAACAGGGACGATGGAGAATTTGGGCTTGAATTTGAATGGAGCTGGGGATGGTGGGAGTGCGGCGGGGAGGTCGATGGCGGAGAGGGATTTCAGGAGTGAGTACTTCCAGCTCTGTTGATATACCTTCCTCCTCAAGATTCTTCCCTTTTTTATTTTTAGTGGATGGTATACCTCCATCTCATCTATAGAGATGCGAGGAAGACATATAAAGATCGGATATCAATCAAACCATCCATCTACATCTCTACACAACACCAAAAATACTAACACCCTCCCTCCCAATGGCCAGGCGATACCACCACCACCCCCTCCCCCCGCCAACTCCTCTCCGTCACCACCTCCTCCCACGGCGACGACGTCTACCACGAAAGCACCACCACCACAACCTTCGAAACCTCCATGGCAACCCTCTTCGCCAAACCCGCCGCAATCTTCGTCCTCTCCGGCACAATGGGAAACCAACTCTCCCTCCGCGCCCTCCTCACCCAACCCCCGCACTCCATCCTCTGCGACCACCGCGCGCACATCCTCACCTCCGAGGCGGGAGGCCTCGCAATGTTCAGCCAGGCACAAATCCAAGGCGTGGTCCCCAAAAACGATAAGTACCTTACGCTGGAAGACGTTGTGGCGAACGCCACCCTGAGTAGTGACATCCATTACTGCCCCACAAGAGTCATTAGTCTCGAGAACACGCTCGGGGGGAACGTGATGCCGCTCGCAGAGATCCAGAGGATCGCGGCATGGGCGCGGGAGAAGGGCGTGAAGATGCATCTCGACGGCGCGCGGCTGTGGAACGCGGTGAGTGTCCACGATTCACTAACCACACAAACCTCGCTCCTGAAGCAATATGCCGCGGAGTTCGATACCCTGACGGTGTGTTTGAGTAAGAGTATCGGGGCGCCGATGGGGAGTGTAATCCTCAGCACTGCCGAGATTGTCGGGAAGGTACGGCATTTCAGGAAGGCTGTTGGGGGCGGGATAAGGCAGGCTGGGATCTTGACTGCGATGGCGGCGGAGGCTGTGCAGGAGGTGTTTTATGAGGGGAGGTTGAAGGGGACGAATGAGAAGGCGAAGCGGATCGAGGGTTTCTGGAAGGAGAGGTGTGGTGGGGGGGTGACGCAGGAGGTGGAGACGAATATGGTGTGGTTGGATTTAGCGGGGAGGGGGGTGAGTGGGGAGGAGTTTGTGGAGGAGGCGGGGAAGGTGGGGGTGAAGGTGTTTCCTTGGGGGAGGATTGTGGTTCATTGGCGTAAGTTTATATTTAATTCATCTTTTGTGTGATGTTGTTGCTGATGTCTGTGGTGTGTAGAAATTACGGATGAGGCGGTGGATAGCCTTTGTGTTGCGTTGGAGGCTTTGGCAAAGAGGGGAGATGAGAAGAAGGCGGGTGCTGTTGATGAGCCGACTATTCGTGGGTATCCTACAAAGTAGAGTATATGTCAGTGCCTCGAATTGGGAGAGGAGCACATGGGATTTTGGTATATATATTGGCATTCACGGTACAACGTTGCAATTGGGCCATGATGAAATTTGTAGGAAGCTTGGAAGTTATTATACCAATTGATATATACAAATAGAAACTCTATCGATATCGATATCCTGTCTTGAGATTAAGATTCTACAACCGTAGTCTCGAGAACCTCCAAACAGGGCTAGTATATTGAGAAGCGAGGACATATGAAACCAGTGATATTTATAACCCACAACTTGTATCGTGCGCACACCCCGCTTGCAACAGTATCTATCCCGACAATTAATTGTAGTATTGCCCGTTTTTTCTTCTTTCTTTCTCTACTTTTTGGAATAATAGTGTTGATCGTAAAGGTATCCCTTGATCTTTGACTCTCCCAACAGCTCCATATATCTCTCTACACACACACACCACCCAATCGCAATTAGCATCCATCGTATTCCCCTTGATTTTCGTCGTCAAGAATGTATATATATCCCCTTACCTCTCAATACACCGCACTTTTCAAGATGGTTGACACCCTCCTTGTAGTAGCACTTTCCGAGCTCATCGCGCACGAGCCGAGCCATCATGGAGCGCACCCATTGCTCGCGGATGATGGAGTCCTGCGCGGCCTTGAAGGCCTTTGTGTCGTCGTAGTCGACGCCGTCGAAGGTCGGGGGCACGCTGGGCTTCTTTGCGGCGAAGCTGGCGGACTCGGGCGTGTACGATGTTCCGGCGGCGTAGGGGGGGTTTGGTGGGGCCATCGAGTCTTCGTTTGTGGGTTTGGGTTGGGGTATATTCTAGGGACCTGGTTGGAGAGCAATTAATTGGCCTAGGGATTAGTGTATTGATCTCGACATATCTGGCGATGGGGGGGTCGAACGTACGTGTGGGGGGATTCCGAAGGCGGAGGGGGGGGGTTCTTCGGGCCGTGTGCGCAGCTTTGCCGGGGCAGCAATCGCACACACAGAGTGACGACGTCGGGAGCGATGATGACTAATGAAACGGAAACGGGCGGGAGTTCAGGGTAGCTGTCAGTTAGAGTTAGCTAGCTCTCTGCCGACCGATAACGATAAGCATAAGCTACCCCCCCCCCTACCCCACACCGCACTCCCGCCCACCACCAGTGCTACACCCCCACCAAACTCGCGATGCCATTCCCGTTCACGCTCTCCACGACATCCACAGCCTCATTCGCAAACCACTACACCTCCGCCGCCTACCCCTCCCTCCCGCTCGCCTGCTCAACCCACCGCGGCATCCTCCGCGATGCCCTCAAGGCCTACAAGCGCGTGCCCGCCTCCGCGCAGGGCGCGCACATCAAACACATCACGGCCGTGACGAGCGAGTACCTCAGCTACCTCCTGCACCTCATCGACGCCGTCAGGACAGGCGACGCAACACCCATCCCCGGCGCACCCGTGCTCTCGACATCATGGCGGCCCACGCTCGCCGCAAGCTCCACGTTCGGGGGGCTGCGCCAGCAGGCGAGAAAGGCCGGGGAGGGATTACAGTACGAGTTATTCTGGGTGCTGCTAACGCTCGCATGCTCACACACCATCCAAGCTCGAGCGCTGCTCATGGAGTTCCTCACAGTCCCGCCCTCGTCCTCGGGGAACCCCGTAGATTCACAATCCTCCTCATCATCATCATCATCCGCACTCCTCCCCCAAGCGACAAAACACCTCCTAACCTCCGCCTCAATATTCTCCTACATGCTCACCCTCACCCCACCACACAGCAGCTCACCCACCACCACCACCTCCCTCCCAATCGACATCTCCCCCCCTCTCCTCTCCGCCCTCTCCCTCACCTCCCTCAGCTCCGCAACCCTCCTCGCAGTCCTAAAATCAGACCCATACCCAACCTACCTCGCCCTCTCCACCTCCGCCACATCAAAGGAATACCTCTACTCCGCGCCCGCCCCGCCCACAGGCGTCAAAGCCCTGCTCTTCAGCAGACTCTGCATCGCGGCCTCGGAGCACGCGGCAAAAGCCCAGGGCGCCATCTCGGGCATCGTGCGGGAGGGCAAAGTCTGCGACGAGTACATCCGGTATCTTGACGAGCTGCGGCGCGTGGGCAGGGCACGGGGGTGCCGCTTCCTGGGGCTCGATGCAGAGGCGCAGAGTCGTCTTGGGGAAGGGCTGGGGTGGATGAAGCTCGCTAGCGAGATTTTGACCGGCGAGGAGGAGGAGCAGGAGGAGGAGTCGAACAAGAAGAAGAAGAAGAAGAAGTCGTCGTCGTTGGCGAGTCGATTCAAGTCCTCCCCGTCGTCGGCATCGCCGAATCATCAGTCCTCTCTAGATGCAAATTCTGCTGCTGCTGCTACATCGTCGTCGTCGTCGATACTACCGGCAATACCCACTGCCGGCGGCCTCCCGCACAGTATGGACCCCTGCACGCTCCACTCGGAGCTCCAGACCATCCTTGCGCTGGCGGCGCGCTGGGCAAAGACGAACGATAAGCTCATCTTTGACCGCATCCCGCCGACGAATTCGCTGATGGGCAGGATCCCGAGTGGACGGGAGGTGCATAGCGTGCCGGAGTTTGTGCCGGATCGGTTGGGTGTGGTGGAGGTGGGGGAGTTGAGGAGGGGTGGGGGGGAGGGGGGGAGTGCGGGGGGGAGGAGTGGTGGTGGAGGGGGGGGTGAAGGATATGTGGAGAGGTGGGGGGAGGGCACGGAGACGGCGAGGGATAGTAGTGATGATGAGGATGGGGGGGCGAGTGCGAGGAGTAGAGGGGGGATGCCGGGGGCGTATTATTGAGTTGGGGTACTTGAGGGTAACACTTCTTTTCTTTCTATTTTTCCTTTTTTTCCCATTTTTTCCTTTTTGTTTTTTGAGATGTTTTTTTAGCTACCTAGGTATGGGAATGGCTT